CATGTGCTGACAGGGAAGCAGAAACATTAGCTTTCCATTCTGGCAAATGATGACCTGGTCGTATTCAGCTGCTGTTGACTCTGTAAGAGTGTGTGTCTGTTAGTCTGTTTACATTCCCCCTGAGCTGGTACAGCTTCACTAATGTCTGCCTTAATAGCAGAGCGGAACTGCAATAACAAATGAATTTCATTTAGTCTGCTAGTAAAGCCTTGGGGAATAGCTATCTAAAGCTTAAACCCAATTTCCAGTTAGCTTCAATATCTCTGCAAAAGACTGAAGGAATTTGTGCCACTGAAATTACTTTGAAAGTCACTATTTGGTCCAAGTTTCTTTTCCCAATTATTTCTGATCTATGAGAAAATGAAAATGTTCTCATAGTTAGAATTTAATTACTCTTAATCTATTCATAGGAATATATGTGTCTGGGGCTGGAGAAATAGCTCCATGGTTCAGAGCACTTTCTACTCTTACAGAGGACCTGGGTTTGGTTCCCAGCACCCACATGGAGGCTCACAACTAATTGTAACTCCAGTTCCAGGGGATCAAATGCCCTCTTGCAACCTCTGCAGGCACCAGGTACACACATGATACACTTAGGTACATGGAGTCAAACACTCACACACACAAAAATAAATCTCTTTTAAAAAGAAATATAAATATATGTTCTTATTCTATGATAGTTTCATACTTATTAGGATCAAATTTAGGGCTGGGCTGCAGCATGTATTACATAAACAAGGCCCTGCATCTTATCTCCAGCAAAGGATGGAGGGCGGAGGGAGGAAACATTTCTAGTGGGAGCAAGGTGGCCATATTTATAAGAAACACAGAATGGTCACTTAAACCTCACATAAACAACAAATAATATTTTGGTACATTTATATTCACATGATATACTCCATTATTTATCTTCAATTTAATTGTACAATTTGTGTCTTATTTGAGCACCTTAAATAGGAGCCTTTTAAACTCTTGCATCTATAAACCAATAATTCAATACAAGGGCTATGCTAATGATCATTCATCAGAAGTTTTTAATTGGTAACCTGTTTGCTTACAGATAGTTGGACTTAGTGTCTTTCTTGGGGGTGGAGCATGGCAGGGGCACCTTGATTATAGAGATTTGTTTGGAAGGAGACCCTGAAATTGTTTTAAACTGGACTGTTGGATGATGACACTTTTACTTTACTTGACTTGCATCCCAGTCCCACTTAAGGTCCTGTTTTCGTAACTATTCAAGAACCACATCAGTTCTCAGAAATATCACTGGTTTTGAAAAAATAATGCAAAGCAAAAATAGCTTTTTCACACTAATCTGGTTTATAAATCTTAATACTGAAATAAGTGCTAATACAAGGAAACAGACAAATTAGAGAAACACATTGTGTATACCTAAATATTTATATCTTGAATAAAAGGAATGAACCTTCCCCAATTAGGATAAAAGGCAAAGAGGCACCAAAGAAGAAGCCATCATGATTGCTCCACAAATATTTACCCAAGACCCAACAATGTCACATTCTACACTGACTTGACCCCTCCTTAACCAAGCCCTTCCCTCTGTAATCTAAACCTTCCCAACAGCCAAGCTCATCCATCTATTCTCACAGTAGTATCCCAGGGTCCATCTTCAGTCTAATGTGCTAGTAACTCTCTATCACCATTCTAGTTTCATGACCTTTCATGTCTGTAACTGTGCTTAGTAAACATTTATTCAAACAATGGGAAAGGTGAATGGTTGCTCAAAGTATGGTAGTTTTGACTGATAGATTTTACATAATAAATTTATGGCAAGGGTAACTCACTGGAATTCTAAGTTGGAAAAAAGGCCCAGTGAGAATTGGCCTTGGCAAACAGAGTCACCGAGGGCTGAATCACAGACATAGTCCTCACCCTTTGGTGACCTTGGACTGGTTACTAAACTCTCTAAGCTTCATTTAACATTTAGTTGTCAGAGACCATTGCTGTCATGTTTGAAGTCAACAACCACATCTAAAATGTTTTGTATTCTGCAATACACACTACAAAGAAAAGTCAGTGTTTATACATTAACAGAGAAAAACGCAAATTATCCAAAGTGGGTTGCTGTGGTCTGAGGGACAGATTCTCTATTTAAGAACTATGCAGACTCAGGGAAGTCACTTAACATCTCTGCATTCTAGATTCCCCATCTAAATTATCTGACAATTATAGCACCTATCTCATTAGAGTCATGGAGAGAATTAAGTTGATTAATTCATGTGAGAATCCTCATATAATAATAATCCAGGTAAAACTCTACAGTGTGTGTGTGTGGCATGAGAAGCATCATGGAAATATCACTTACTACTTTTCTCACTGTCACTATTATTTCAGGAGATAACATTTCAGATAAGCCTTGATGGACTAGTAGTAGATACACAGATAGACAAAAGGGCTAAAACAAGAATTCTTAAAGAGACAGCAAGAATAAAAGTAGGGAAAAGGAGAAGAAAAACTGTCCGAAGATCAGAAAATGCACCTTAACTAGAGAATAACGAAGTAGGTATGAAAAGCTAAAACTGGAAGATGAAGGCTTAGCTTTAGAAGGGCTTGATGCAAGTTCCAGATGCTTGTAAAAACCTTCACTACCCAATGGGGAGACTATCAAAGTCTTAGAACATAACAGGAATAATATAACCATGGTTGTATTGGCTTAACTGAACTACACTGGGTTAGAATAGGCAATAGAGGAGGCAGGAAACTATCCTGAGAGCTCGTACAAGAGCAAACGAAATAAGAACAGAAAAGGGGTCTGAGTTCCTGTGGTTTTAGAACCAGGACCCATAGGGACTGGCTAGGAAAGAGGGAGCTTGGGAAGGAAGCTGGGGGATGAACAGCTTGAGAAACTGCAGATACGTATTAGTTGGGAGTGATGGACCACTGGGAGTTGAGAGCACAGTTTATTTTTAGCAATGGAGAAACTGTGCTTGGGTCTAGACGGAGCAAGGCCTAGAAGCTTGCTGTGAGAAGTGAAGTTATATTGAGAATGGAGACTGGACTACCAAAGACAGTTGACAGAAGGAGAAACCAAGGTGTAGGTGGCACCTGTGGACTAAGAGAGCAGCAAAAGCCCAAAGACACCTCATGAAGAAAGAACATAAGCAAACAAAAAGGGGAGAGGAGACAGGAAAGGGCAATAAGGAGGATGTGCTCAACATCACCTCTACAACCTGTGCTGACCCTGTGCCTGTGAGGCTGTTCCTCCTAATAGAGGTCTTATCAGAGAACAGTGGACTTATCCATCCATCGCGCACACTGTTCTGATGGCAAAAGAACCATGTAGCATATACAAGCTCACAAAGTGTTTCAAGAATCAGTGAATGAATAAGTGAATGCCAATAGAACCTCAGTCTTCCATGCTATTGTGTATTACAAGGCCTCTTTCTACATCACAAACTAGATACTCATTCACAAATCTGGATCAAATATGTCAAGTAGCAGACTGAATTACTCTACCGGCTTCTTTTGCTAGCATTGAGACAGTCTAATGGAATACATAAATGGCTTCTAACATGGGCTCTCAAAAGCTTTTGTGGTTCCATAATATATCTGACCCCACCTCACCCCACACCACTTTCCAGGGACAAACCAGAGTAAAAGTTGGAAGGAAACAGAAAATACCAGTCACACTGAAACTGGATATAAAAGAAACTGGTCTTGAGAGATCATTGCAGCGTTGTGGTTTTTAGGAAGGCTGATGCAGTTTTCTTACCTTTGAAATGAATTTTCCCAGTATTTGGATTATAGGAGACTTGTATGAAGTCACTCACATGAATTCTTAAACTTCCCCGAGTCTCTTAAACACACCATAAGGACATCATAATCTCTGAAACCCTTCTACCATTCTCCTTTTCTCTTTGGCCCACATGTGAAGTAGGGCGCTAGGCACATTTTCAATCCTATGAGTGTGGTTTATTTTTCTACAGCCTTTGTTTTCTATTCTCCAACCTGGGAGATACTCTCCAAGGAACACGCAGATAATGTATTCAAGGTTGTGACACTTAGAGATTAATTTGGCTTCACATTAAGATTCTGTTTGAGTTGGCTTGGTTGGAAGCCTGGCAAGCATGGATTTGAGCAAGCTGACTGTAGTAAGCCAATCTGTACTCACTCCTCCCCAGCCCTGCATTCAGTGATGTCATCCTGGTAACTTGAAGTCAGTCATGCTGGGAGTTTTTTGCCTTATGGGGATACTCTAAGCGCTAAAATGTAGTTCCTTCATTCTGCCCAAAGACTCAGTTAGCCAGCAAACTACTCATTTTGAAACCTACTACAAAGAAAGGAACATAGTCGATGAATTAATTGTTCTGGAGTCTCTCAAGGCCAACATTTACATGTTAGCAGGCTCACTGCCTGACAGCACAGTATTCTTTTAGAAATACACTTGTAAACTATTTTAATTGACTCTCCTTTTTAATTTTTAAAGTTTAGCAATCTTTATAAGATTAATTATAGAAGCTGAAGGGGTAAAATCAACTTAAGAAGTAATTTGGTACAACTCGTTTACAGTTTAAAAAATAAAATAAAAACTCAAAACATTTAGATTAAGAAAGCCAAGACTCTTACACCCACCAGACCATATAAGGCAGCATGGGAACTACAATATACTATCCATCTCACCACCTGAATTTCTAAATAGGTTAGCCAAGTGGGTTGTTTGAAAGAGAGAAGTATCCATTATGATGTCTCAACTCTGGCCCTGAAGAAAGGGGATCTATACCACTAAAAAAATTATTATCAAAAGATAATGTCAAAACAGAGACAGAGTGAAATAATTACATAGTCTATGTTATCTTCCTGCATCATCATGCAAATATAGCAAATATTTGTGCCAAAGTCATCTCATATGGAAAGAAAAGTCCCGTCTGACAGAATGCTGTTATGACTACCTCTTAGAGTTGCTAGTACAGTTGTGAACTCGTAACAATGCATTATCATGGGATGCTTTAAGTATAATAAAGAGAAGGTATAAACTGTACCCATGCAAGAAGCAACAGATTTCTTTTCACTGTTCCACAATACCCCAGCATTCCCACGATGATAAGGAAACAGCAAACAGCAATCATGACCGGGTGAACCACTGGGAAGTAAGTCAATATGACTGCCTCTTCTACCCTAAAAGAGGAAGATCATATCACAAGATAAATAGATCATTATCAAAAACTCAAAATGCTTCCCAAACACTGAGCAAATGCCACTGTGAACAGTGGTTCTGTAAATTATCATCCTTTAAAAGTTGGTGACTTGTCACTTTGTGTCTATTTGCTTGCTTATTTTATTTTTGTTTTAGTTTTTATGTAGGTGTTAGCATTTCTACCCCAACACATTTTAATTATGGACTCCAAAACACCAGACTAAGGAACCCACGTGAGGTCCCAACCGGGAGAATTGCCCCTTTCTCTGATCTTGGAGTCTCTACAGCACTTTTCTTTTCTCTGATAACTAATCATTTTCTGATGTGAGGGAAACAGGAATACATAGGAAAACTGGAGAATAGGAGAAGGTAAGGAGGGGACTTTTTGCTGGGACACATGTAGTCATTAACCAGAGCCTGTGATTGTGATGATAATGAAACTTAGATATTATTCAGTGCCTATAAATTCTGTTGTGTTAAAGACTTTTCAAAAAGATTTCTTCTCACTTGATCCTTTCCATGATTCAGAGTAGTATATACCACAGTCTCCACTCAGAGACAAGGATAAGTCAGGCAACTGGCATGTTACTAACCACAGAACTGTCCATGTAATTGTACTGTTACCTAATGTCCTGTAGGACTAGTAGCATTCCTTAATGAAAATGCGAGAAATAAATGTAAATTTCAGCAAATAAGTGGCTGGTGCAGGAAAAAAAGTGTTCTACAAGATTGTGGAGGACAACAGTTCAATGAACAGGTCAGAGAAAAGATGTTTAAAAACTGGGATCTGGGGAGAGCAAGTGAAATAATTCAATACACCTACCTTGTTTCTGCAGTTAAAGTCAAAACATTATTCAGGTAGTCCCTCATCCAAGCAGAAACGGCCAAGACACTGATGGACATTAACTAAAGAGGAGAAATAACAAACTGGTTACCAGAGATTTATGTAGCATTCACCCTGAAGACTAACAACCTTAAGTGGAGAATCTGCTATATAATTTTCATGGTTTTTCTAATAACCTTTGGCTTTCTATTGAATTTTACTGGTACCATAAATATCTGACTAATCCATTTACATACCACACATACACTAAATGGAATATCTGCAAATAGGGTAAAGACAAGTGAACTCTTAAGTCGGTGGTGTCAAGTTCAGTAATGAAATTACCTAAGACAAACTCTACTTTTAAATCTATAAGATGAACTTAAAAGCATCATGCTTAAACCCAATAAAGCAATTAAATATGGTTTCTGAACAATTAATTGTCAAAAGGGCTATAGGAGCTACCATAAAAAACTTTTACTGACCAAAACCCAACGAAGTGTATATTAGAATGATAATAACAATAAATGTAAAGGTTGGAAACATCAATATGTTCCAACCTCAAGGATTATAGCATGATGGACACCCATATTACTATTCAGAAAATGACCCAAATCTCTTATTTATTTTCATTCTATTCTTCTTATACAAGGTAAACACATAACCAAAGATTGAGTGAGATTTTTAAAGCAGAACATCTAGTCACCCATGCAGCAATTCTACTGCAGTAACACCATTTAACAACTTCTCCTGGAATGTTGGTGCTATACAGGAAATTCTTCAATGCCAAACAAAATTAGCAGATCAGAGATTCTCAGTCTTGTCTGTACATTAGAGTCACCTAGGACTCAAACATTTCCTGAGCCCATAGTAGACCAGCCTTCGGAGTAGGGGCAAAGCGGCATCAGTGTGACAGTTTGGCGGTCTTCCAGTTCATTGACTGGGCTGAGGACCACTTTAGCTATGAAACGCTGAGGGAGATGTATAGTATGGAAAGATCAGACTGCAGATACCAGACCCAGCTGAACCATCTAGTTGAATAAAACATACAATCAGACCCTGTAAGTTTCATGATCTGAGCAATCAGTAGCACCCAGAAATATATAAATATTTTTTACCAAAAAACTGAGCTTCAACCCAATTAAACATCCAGCTGTATTAGTTAATGAGAACAAACTACAAGGTCTAGCTCTAACCACCACTTCTGGGATACAGTAAATAAAATCAAGAACATGAGATAATTTCACAAGGCAAACAAGATTGTTTCTTCAATTTAAAAAAATAAACACTGAAATGCCAATTTTAAAAAAGAAAGGAAAATCTATTAAAGATTAAAAGGAGTTCAAGAGATTGCCCAATGTAATATGGCTGACCTGCTTTGAACTCTGACTCAAAGAAATCAACTGCAAAGAAATTCACAGAAAGCTGGAGAAACATTGATTAGATGTTTAAAACTACTAAGAACTTGAATATTCTTTCAGGTATGAATACAAATTCAATTTACTTTTAAGGGCCCTTACTTTCTAGAGGTCTATTGTGACTTGTGGCTGAAAGTTAACTATGACTGAGAAGCAGTAATAAGTTACCATGCCCTGCAGGGAAGTTTAGTTGGAAGCAGAGCAGGATGCGTTGGCAACTACAGACACTGAGCAATGAGGAAATAGGGCTTAATTAGAGTTCTTTCAAGTAATATGTATTTTAAAATCTCATACCTCAAAAATGCAAGAAAAAAAAGATGCATGTTGGTAGTGATCCTTTTGCTAAAAATGGAAAGCTGGTTGGTTCTTGGGTTATGAAGATTTTCCTGTTTTATCTGAAATATTTTCAAAATGAGTCATTGTTTTTCTTAAACATAGTATGACACTCAAGAAATTTGATTTAACCTGATTTTTAAAAATTCTGGCATTTTGAGGGACATTCATTATTTCAGAGTTAATGCTGAGCAGGTATGGTCATCTAAGAAAGTAATGAGTCTGAGTTGATGCAGCCACTGACTTCGAAAGCAGCTCTTTAGATAGAGCCTCCAAGGTGAGCTGATGTCCTCCCATCCTTGAAGAATGGCTGTGTGCCGGAACCCAGTGAGAGAACTCACCGTCTCATCACTTGTTTACAAATCTCTATTCTACACCTTCCATCTCACATCTACTTGACTATATGTGGGTCTTTACCTTGCAAATGTCACAGAGAAAGGATATTTCATTATTTCAAATTATTTTGCAGCTACAAAGAACACTTTTGGTGCTCTACAAAGTAAGAAATAATCTTCAGATCTCCATCCTTAAATGTCTCTTTTTTTCTTTTTAATCATTTTGAGAGTTTCCTGAACTAGCATAATGCATTTTGATCATATCTGCTCCTTCTCGCCTGTCCAACTCATCCTTTTGTTTCTTAGTCCATTTTCAACATTACAGTCCTGACTCTTCGTTGTGGAAAAATGATTAACAGTTGTTGTCACTAGACACAGTTCTTCTACTTGAGAGAGAGAAAGAAACAAAGAGAAAAAGGAAATTCATTTCTTTTGAACATTTATTAAATGGCAGGATGAATAAAGCCTTGTCTTTGAAGTCATTATTCCATTCAAAGAATAGACATTAGCCTTGGCCAGGTACTGTGCTATGTGCTAGAGATATTGTAATGAGCAGAAACTGACACTGTCTCCACAATGCAATTAGCTGAAGGAAGAGGACACACATTACCAACTCATCAGAGGTGTGAGCATGCATGCAGGAAAGAAATAGTACAAGATGCTTTAACAACTCCTTTTGAGCTGACTGATCTAATCCACAGGGTCAAAGGGACTTCTCTAAGGTAACTGAGATCCTGAAGAGCAATGTCAAGTTAATTAGGAAGGAATAAGGATAAAAAGAACTTTCCAGCCAAAAAGAAGAGCCGAGGTTTCAGGGTGGAAGGCAGCATGATATGTTGAGGAAAAGGAAATTGCTCCTGGTGGGAATGCACAAGCAGTCAAGGGTCAGATAATAGCCTTGGAAGCCACCTGATGGTGTATGTCCTTGACCATGATGGCAATGGGAAGCCACTGAACTCTAAACTTTAACTACAACTAGAATCCCATTTCTTTCTTTTTTTATTTTGTTTTGTTTTTTGAGACAGGGTTTCTCTGTGACTTTGGAGGCTGTCCTGGAACTCATTCTGTAGACCATGCTGGCCTTGAACTAACAGAGATCCGCCTGCCTCTGCCTCCTGAGTGCTGGGATTAAAGGTGTGCACCACCAACGCCGGGCTAGAATCCTATTTCTGTACCCTTTCAGCCAACAACTTTGTTACAACATTTAATCTTTCTTCGTTTTTTTTTTCCACCTTTAAATCATCATTTAAAAAAAAACACTTTTGACCTTAGAGTTTCTCTTAATCTTTCTCAATGTAAGAATCTAGATTGTGGGGGTCTACCAAGTAGACAGTGCAGAGAGCCACTAGACAGCCATGATCAATCTTAACATGTCTACAACTGATCTCAGCTCTGTTCTTTTGTTCCCCTCACAGTATTTACAAGCCTAGTGAATGGAATAATGAACCCTTCAATCACATCGACTGGCAACTTGGCAGACAGCCTGAACCTCTCCCTCTTCCTCGCTGGACATTTAATTAGTTTTGAATCCTTTACGTGGTTCCTGAGAAGCATCTGGCAAATCCCTCCCCATTTCCTGCTGCTTCAGGCTAGTTCAAGCCACTATCCTCTCTTGTCAGGATGTAGCAATCACCTTTATATGATATCTCTCCACTCATAGACTCCTATTCCACAATACAGGATCAAGCATATGCTTCAGCACATAGCTGTACCTATGCCATTCTCCAACTCATACTGCCTCGTCCCTCATCTCCCTCCTAAAGAATAAAGCTGAAGTGACTGCAGAGGTCACACAAGGCACTCTACTCACTCTTTAACCTAGTTCTTCTCTCCGGTTTGCTGCCAGCTCCTTCCCATAGCTGAACAATGATGGAAATCCTTGCAAAGGCCACCATGAACATCTCCCAAGGTCCCGTGTCTGTTTTTGCAGTTGCCTCTGCCCCGCACTGACCTTGCAGTCCTCAGGAGCAAAGTAACCTCCACTTCTCGTTGGACACCAGCCCAAACACCAGTTAGAGTGGAAAGACTGTCTCCAGGCTTCCTCTGTACCCACAGCACTCTGAATGCTCTTGCTACAATCCCGGGGGAAGCCTCATTTCCTGTTTTACCTCCCCATCTACAGAGTACTCACTCAGTAGGGCCAAATACCAGCTAGGTGAGTAAATGGGAAAATAATTAAACTATATGGAAATGTTTTCTGCTTTCTAAGCAAGCTGAGTATTAGAGATCTTTAGCAAAAGCAGATGCTCTAACAGAAAACTCCACTTAACGCGCTAAAAATTTCTCTAGGGAGACACCAGCCAAATGATAATGTAATGCTTTCCAATGCAGGTTAGAAACTAGTACAGGAATGCTTCAAAGTGTAAACTTTACAGTCTACCCTGTCTCACTATGTTTCCCTGACAGGTGTCAAGCAAACATTGCATTTGTGCCTGGAACACTGGTCAAAATAAATACCAACACAAAGCCTGCTAGCACAGTAAGCAAGCACCTTTGAAAACAAATGGCTTAACTTCCTGAAAACCATCTTATCCTCACAGAGTGATTTTACTCATGGAGACTTGGAAAGTGGTATCAGAAGGCGCATACGGAACATGGCCACACCGAGGAAGTAAACCAAAACGAGACTGAATTTCTTCCAGACATTATGTAACACATGTTCATGTAGCTTACATGAACAACTCATGTTCCTAACTCAATTGTGGTGTTTTTTGTGAATTCTTCAAATTAGTTTTTATTTTGTTTTAGACTTACATCTCCTATTTTTGACTAAGCATACAAAATACTACATGTATTTATGGGGTATTCATATCCTAATTTACAAATTTTGCACATATGGGTCAAATCAGGGATATAATGGGATATAATTGTTCACCTGTTACTCATGATCTTCAGTACCGTCACATATTGTCTAATTAGTTATCAAGGAAATATGTATAAAATAACACAATTATTATTTCATAAATATGCCTTTGACATTTGCTACATGCTGTCTGGTGAAGTGCTTAGAAAAATGCTAGCTCAAATAATTAGAAATATCAAATGTGCTCTATTGAAGGCATGATCCAATTTCTCCTGAATCTAATTATGGGGGTAGGAGTATTAAGGAAAGTTGTTTTGTAAACCAGAAATGTGTATGCATTCACATTTTCTAAGTTGTGCTATGAAACATATACCTATAGTTCGCACAAGCTGGGTCATTGCCAAAAACAAAGATTTTAAAGTATTCAACTATTTGCATAAGTCATAGAACATGACGGTGGCACAGATTCTCTTCAAGAATGATAGATACCTTCCAGAACTTTCCTTTGTCAAATCTGTTAGCAAGGATAGAATGTCAACAAAGTCTAGATCTTAGTTCTCCTACTGTCTCCACAAAGAGCGCTCAGACAAAGCATCCAGGCTTTCAGTTCCATCTACCCATCTTGTGGATTCTGAGTCTGAAGCAAGAACTTTGCTTCTTTAGAAACTGGCGTTTATTTACTTAAAAATTAAATAAATTCTTGCTGGTTTAGAGGCCAAAGCTACATGTTCCCATGATACCTCCGCTCCCACCCTGCATGCCTTCCCAGCTTCCCTTGTAGGAGAGGATGACAGAAACGAAGAGAACAAACATATAAAACTGTTTGTCAACATCTTGAACGAATAGTCAATCTTAATAGTGGCCAGGAAAGATTGAGAAATTATTTATGGGCATAATTTAAGTACAGACTCCATTAATCAGAAGTGGCAACGAATAACAGTTTGGAATGAGAGTGTGCATACATCATCATCTCTCCCTGCTTATGATGACTCTTCTGGACCAGAGAGACTCACTTTTAAGTCTCCGGTGTTCCGATATAATTAACGGAGACTTCATCATTCTCAGATGCACACTGGTTTACAAGAGAATGAAAATGGTCACAAAAGAAAGATAGAAGGTTTCATTCCGCACTATAGTTTGATAATCTGGGGCAGTCAACTCTACTGTCCCAGTGTCCACCTTGTGATTATTCCTTGAGTTAAGCTAGAAGATGGAATGGAAGTAATCCAGAATCTACCATATACTCCACAAAAGCATTCCATGAGGTTCACAGGGACTCAAGCCTATGATAACTGAAACAATGTATTCTAAAAATAATAGTTTTGCCTTGATTAAGTTTTTCCATGATGATAATTTATGTTTAAGAGAGCTCAAAAAACCAGAGGACTTTTCACCACCATTTAGGAAGAGCCTAAAAAAATTGAATGCCATTCATAGCATAAGGCTAAGAGTATCAATTTTAAAAGAATTTTAATATGACATCATAACTATTTTTTGGAGGCAAAGTCTCATTTGCCAAGAGTACAACTTTTTAAGGAGCATATGGTAGAAAATCTCACTACTGATGCTGATATCCAGATAACACAAGGAGATTTCCATTCATGCCACCTTCCATGCTTCATCTGTCTCCAGCCCATTCCTAAATCACAAACAAGATTTGTTGTTCACCTTTTAGTTCTTCTAGGTCACTTTTCATGTTAAATCAGGGAAAGTTCACCCTTAGAATGTTTTAAAATAGCAAGCCAACACCAATGACACTCATATGATAAGTGAAAAGGGAGCTTAACATTACAAAAAGGGTATCACACTTTTAGAAAAATACAAATACATAATTGGGAAACATGAAGTGTTTGCCATTTTCATAAACTTCCAAAAATCATGCTATTCCTCTTTATAATGACAGGGAGAAAACACCTGAGAATAGTACCCATATCAGACAGCTACAGAAGTCATTTTCTAAAACAGAAGCTTTCATTTCTTTAACTAATGTGTCCTTTGAACAGGAAGAGTGTAATGCTTCAGATAAAGATAATTCCCGCCCTTTCAGTAACTTGGGCAGTAAGAAGCATCATCATCTCCAGAGGGCACTCAATAGCAGAGATCCAGTATCAATCACTTCCTATGTGCTGTGCCCACACAGGTGCTCAGCACCCATGCAACAGCAGACAACCAGAGTCTGTCCTCTGTCCCTGTGCAGCCACAGCAGGGTCAAGCTTCTTCATAATGTGGAAGATTCTCCACAGATGGCAAGTCAGGTGTGACAGCTCCTCAGGAAGGGAGTGCAGAGCGCTGGGGTCTGAGAACCTGCAGATTGTGTCCTCTTAAGCACGTTGACACCTCGTACTCAACAAAAGTAAAATGCTCAAGATCTAAGCTTTTCCTTAAAGACGTTTCAACTCTGAGGAGATCGAAACAAAAATTACACGGGCTATGTTTCCCAATTAGGATGTGCTGTTTTCTACAGAAAGAAAAAAAAAGACTCAGTGTGGGAAGAAGGGGATTGAGTGCCAATACAATACATAAAAGGTTTGAGTTTGTGAATTTAAGACATGAAGCACGGATGGGTCTACCTTGGAGCCCTATGGGTAACAAGGGAAAATGTGTCCACTTGGCAAAAGAGAAAAAGGAGCAATCTCTCCATCGTCAGGGTGTGAAGTTTCATTTAGGAAATGCGTTGTAGATACCAACTGTTTGTCTCCTTGTCATGTCAATAGTAACTAGAAGTCAGCCCTTGTTCCTGCTGGTGGAAAATACGTGACAGAGAAACTTCAATAACATGTTGAGAGCTAGGGATATAATTCAGTGGCAGAGTACTGGCATGTCCAAGGCCTTCAGTTCAATTCCAACACACTTGTGTAGAGCACACACACACACACACACACACACACACACACACACACACACACAGGAACACGCAGGAGCTGAACCTGAAGTTTAGTAGCATGATCAGGTGATTTTCCTGCACGCTGTGGAGTGAGAGGCAGCTCTAGAGGTTGTGGAATGAGCAGGTAGGTGGATAGCTTATCCTTCCCCACTGAGGGCGTTTCTTTGACATCATTGCAAGTGCACTCAGCATGGTTCCCAGCAGCATAACTTTTCTATTTTCTACATATGCATAAGTAAACAACACTGGACCTGGACTTCCTGTTCTGATGCTTCCGAGAGAGTAACTAAGTTACTGGGCTCATCTGAGCACTGCTTTCTTTATTTAAAAAAAATCATGTAAAAAGGAAGGAGACAGAAAGAAGCCTGTGTATGGGAGGCTGTGATGCAAACTAGAGAGACCACACAAGGCCTGAAGCAGGCTGAAAGCTGGCCACAAGGAAAACATTTCTCTCTAAGACACATTGCCTGCTTTCCCAAAGGTAGAGGAATCATTTCATGGGAGCTTAACAAATATTTCAGAAGGGTTTTGTTGGTTTGTTTCTTTACTTGTTTTTATTGTTGAAGCAAAGCTTCATTTTGCATCCAAGAGCTAGCTTAGACCTCACTACCTAACCAGGCTGAATTTGAATTCACAGCAATCCTCCTCTATCAGCCTTCCTAATGCTAGGATCGCAAGCATGAGCAAGATTGCAACATGGATATTTTTAACTGAATGAAAAAAAAATCTTTCGGCTGGCGCTACATCTCAATCAGCAAAAGCTTGCCACACAAACCTTAATACCTGGGTTCGACAAAATCCATATACAGGTGGAAAAAGGGTGTTGATGACACAAAAATCACCCTGTGATGTCTACCTACAGGCCATGGCACTGGCAGACACACATACACATATCACACACACACACACACTCTCTCTCTCTCTCTCTCTCTCTCTCTCTTAAAAAAATCTTAAAGTCTATATGGAAAAAGAAAAATAACCAAGACAAAAAGTGTCAGCGCCATAGGAGAACATATACCCACCTACAAAAAGTATATATAAAATATTATGAAAATGTGTTTCACTACTGTGTAACAACAGACAAAACCAACAAGCAAGAGGGAAACCTCAATAAGGACAAAATAGGCAATGACTATAAGTACATTAGGAAGCGCGTCAGAAGTACATGTAAATATTTATGTAGGGGGTAATTCTTGCAGGCATTGGGAGAGGTAGAAGATAGAGTAATAATAACACGATACTTAAAACTTTCAGACTGGCCAAAATTGAAAAGCACAGTATTCTTAACAAGGTGACAACTGATACTTTTCGTACAAATCATAAGGTATATGACTTTATTTCTAAATTGTAGAATGCAAAAACAAGGTTGCTGGATCAAAAGGATAGTGCTAGTAGTGGCAGTCACGGCAGTTCTAATCAGGACAATAATAATTACCGCTCCTACTACCAGGAATAGTAGCAATCCACTTCCTGTTTGTCTCCTGGAGGAGATTAGCAAGACTGTGGTCAGCGCACTGGCCACACAGCTTCTAAACAGACACCACTATGTGTCACTGTTCTAAATGCTCATCACACCCCTAAAAATACTAGAAAACAAAGGCACTAAATTTACCTGTCAAATACATAATAACCACATATGAGCTGTTTTGTATAGATTGTATTGTAATATTTTATTGATGTTGGCTACATTTTTGTCTTTGTGTTACTGCGGTCAACACACATATATTTTGGTATAAACAATCTCGTGTCTACGGCAACTACAAAAATAATGAAATGAAAAGTCGTGCATGTATATGACTATGAATAGGTTCATGTGGGTAGCAATAAGTAAATGGTACTTCAGTCTAAAACAAATGAAAACACAGGGGGAGCATACTGGATTGTCGCAGAGGAGATACTAGGGAGGGGCAGAGAAGGGCTGGAGACAGAGCAGGTAACAGCCTAGATAAGCAGCAAATCATAATGTGCACACTCCCACAATCAGAAAGTTGAAGGACAGGCTAGCAGTAAAACAATAACATTTTGAAGTCCCTGGTAGCATAAAGGGGCCTGCAAATGGTTAAGGCAGGGGGAGGAATGTTTTTAAGCAAATTTTATTATTCAGAAGGGCAATACCTTTGCAGAATGATTTGGGTATTTTCCCCAATAGAAAAAAAATTAAGAAATTTCCGCAGTGATTTAATTTTTCACTGAAAAACAAACAAAAGATCTTATTAATGGGGAGGTTCAGAGGTGAGTCAAGGCTGCCTGTTAAAGGCATCATCTAGGTGCCAGAGAGCTTAGTCCTGTCCCTGGCATCGCCATCGGAATAGCTGACCTCTGACATGCCATTTAACTTGCTCTCAATTTCCTGATTTACAAAGAAAGGAAGTTCAACCAGGCCTTCCATAAAGGTCCCTTCAGTGAGAAACTGTACCAGTAACAAATGTGCCACTAGAATGCATAATGCAGGCAAGTCAAAACCTAGCAATAAGAGTCATAATTACACATAATTACACAGAGTTCAGAGTCTTAATACCTGATATTAAATCAGTAACTCAATGACCCACTCTAAAATGTGTCCTTTTAGAATTGAAAAGTACGGTAAGACTGATTAGTGATTTTCTATTTCCAAACGCTGAGTGCAACTACCCAACGCTCTAATTTTCACACTGACTTTTTAAAAGTTGTCATTTTGGATATTGTTCAAATGACTTATTAACGACTTAATTTGTCATCTGAGAATGGTGTCAATCCTAAAGGAGCCATTTAGCACAAATGATTCTCTAGAGACCAAATATTAAAGCTGTCGGGAAATAAGGGGGCCGGCCAATGCCAGGCAGACAACAGACAGAGAAATACACTGCACACTAAAGTTTACAGCAGGAAATGCTGAATATAAATTACTGAACGGAAATAAAAGTGACAAAAGGGAATTTGCTTAAGCATAACAGCCTTCTGAAGTAGCACTCACAGTTTTAATATTTATATTTTCCTTAGCATTATAAACAATACAGTACTAACACTTTATGGAAGTATGAAGTATCAGCAACTCATACAGCAGCATTTCCAAGGACTTGTTAAATTTTATGTATTTTGTATCCTTAAAAGACTGTGTCTTTTCTTTCCAGAAGTATATATACATAAAACTCTTCAAACATCCCAACTTAGAAGTAGTTATGGAATTCCCTTTGAAAATCTATCCAGACTTTTGATAGACTCTCTATGTATGAATCCTTCTAAAGGGATATTAAGACTGTTTGCCCCAACTAGTTTTTGTAGGCTCAGACGTAAAGAAAAGTTGTAAGGCTTGCACAGTTATCTTAAGTCCTGCAAATTAGCAGTTCCCGAGAGCTATGTCATAATTGCCTTATCTACCAGAGTACAAATGTGTGCCTTTATTTATATCCTTAGATTAGCTTCATGTCTAATGTTACTGGCACTTGTATACAGGAGTGGACTTTTTTTCTAATTACAGATGGAACTTGAGCTAGATCAAAGGCATTTTAAGAAGGTCAAATTTTACTTCTCTGAAAAACAGAGGATGTGATCTCACATCATTAATTAATGCTGAGCCATGTCCCTTGGCGCCTTCTCTAGTGGTGCAGAAAACTGGGTCCAGCCATGCCCACCTGCTGGGATGGTGGAACTGTAAACTTACCCAAAAAAGCAAATTGAGGGCATAGAGCAAGCAGCGCAAACACTTCACGGAATCTTCTCTGGCCATTGTGAATCTCCGGAGGGAGAAGCCCCATCATTTCACCACATCCTACCGGTCCAGGCAAAGCAGCCACGATCTGTAAGGGCGGGTACAGCAGAGAACTAAATTCACAGCAAGTGTGCCCCTCTGCCAGCCCTGTATTCTGCTGGCCTTCAGATGGGTCCCCAGAATCCCCAAGTCTAGTTTATTCGAGACATCGTCTCATCAAAACTCCTTTGTTAGGGTCATAAAGGGAACAAAACTCCCAAAAGTTCTAAGGCGGCTTCAGATAACACCTGCTGCCAAGAGAAAAGGCTGACCCTCAGGAAGAATGAAGGTCTACAGTAAACTCGTTCCCAGGAGACCTGCAGAGCGGCCTTGGCCTTCTGTATTCTGTTGAGACTTTCTTTGCCCCCTCCCTGGAGACAGCTTGCTCTCAACTGTCCTAAATGTTACAAACCTTCACATCTCTGGAGATGCCACAGGCTCCACTGCTACCCCCATTCCCGGACGGATGGGCGGACACACACACACACACACACACACACACACACACACACACACACACACAGCTCGGCGCTCCCCACCTTACCACCCAGTCACACAGCCTGGGTGTGAACTCAGGGGACCACAGGGGGCGCAGCGCAGAACTAGGATTCCGCCCCGGGACTAGGGTTTCTTTGGGAGACTGTAAGAAACACTGTTTTCGTCCGGGAATAATGGATAAGCCTGGGGCGGGGTGGCCGGGAGGGAACTTCGGGGAATCAAGGCTGGTACAGCTGTGCCCACTCCGGGCAGGTCATTCATGCACCACCACCACCACCGCCCCTCCCAACCTCGGGGCCCCTCACGCCGCTGCGACCCTGAGGTCCCCGCCGCCCGCAGAGCACAAAGCCCGCGCGGTCAGGCAAAGCCACCACGACTGCGCGCCCCCGGCAGGACGCACGGTGCAGCGCAGAAGCCTCTAGGGCGGGCTGCTGGGACCGCAGGCAGAAGAGATGCAGGACTTGTGGCCACTCACCTTCCGAGCCGCGCTCCCGCCAGGGGACAGTCGGAGACACACGGCGGACTCTCATCCGGGCAGGGACGCTCCTCCCGGAGAGCCAAAGGGCGGCATTGACTCCAGCTGCCGACGCTTCCTTGTCTTACTCTCCCCAGCCGTCGCCGTCGCTGACTCCTGGGAAAAAGAAAAGGAAAAAAAAAAGTCCCGGGCAGCAGTCGCTGGAAAGTCTCTGCTAAGCCACCTCCCAACGCTGCTGTCCCTCCCAAGTCCTCGCCAAGTCCGGACGAGGCAGCCGCGGCAGCCAGGGCCAGCTGCACAAACTCTCAGCGCATGCTCGGCCGCTGGCTGCCCGGGTTGGGTCCTAGTGGGTGTTTCTTGTCCCTCTCACCCAGAGTGACACCCCAGAGGGATTCTTCACCTCTGCAAGATAGAATGCTGGAGAGATAAAAACCTGCAAAGCTGGAGAAGTCCTCGCAACAAATCCCTTTTAAATGGTGGCGTCGCAGGAGTGGTGGCTGTTATAAGCATAAGGAAACAGGCTTTTATTATATGAAAATATTTGTGTTTGAGAAGGGGGGGCACGAGTGGCCCAACCCAATTCCAGCAATGAGAGGCTAGTTTTCACAATCTTTATGGAACCGCCTCCTGTGACTTGTCATTAACGTGGTGCCCTGTGATCCTTATTGATTTGTTGTACTACTCCCCAATCAAATTACACACACTTACACACACAAGCACGCACACACACATATATATATACATATGTATGTATATATATATATATATATGTACCCCACTCCGCTCCACTAATATTTGCAAAACCATCAAAGTATCTCTATCCAGGCTTAGAATTCAGATAGAGAAAAGAACAGTTAATTTATTCATGAGTAATCCAAACTTTCCCAATTTTCTCTTGATATGGTTGTGTTGACTATGTTCTAACTGGTGATGTATCTCAAAATGAACACAGAGTGGTGAATGTTCTTTTTTTAAACTAGAAATTCAGGAAGTATCACAATAACCACAAAGCATCTCTCCAAACCTAGCTTCTATCTCAGAAGTAAGAAATTTCATACTGAAAAATTAAAATTGCTGGATCATGTTGCTCTCCAAAAAAAGGTTGTGTTTTATCACTCACAATAGCAAATATTGCTGTGATCATTTCTTCCCACATCTAACAGCAAATAAAAACACCAATAAACGTGTGTTACATGAGAGCCAAGCAACATCTTTAAGAAAAACTAATAACTGGAGTCCTCAGTACAATTTGCAGCTGTAGTCTGTGTCCATCATCACCTGCTGGCCGTGTGGCCAAAGCAACCAAGACACACGGTCTACATTGGTTGGGACGGAGGTCAACACCAAGAGACAATGTGGACGCCCAGGGCTAAGTTATTAACGTTCTTCCTAAGCAAGTCCTAAGACAGCCAGCCCTGAGAAGCATACAAGAAGGACAGCCATCCTCAGAGATCGGCAAGGAAAGCGTCCATCAGATGACTCCCACTGCAGTCACACAGTGACTTCTGGAATTGTGGGAGGGGCTAAGAAAGCTGCTTTTATCCTTTGTCAGTGTGTTCACAAGCGAAGGCAGCTGCCTGATTCACAGGGAAAGCAACTGAAACAAACCACCATCCAAATTCTGTTGGTGCCACACACCTCCTGAGAGATATAAGAATTTCCTCATAGAGGGGAGGCTTAGCCATTAAAATGGAGAAAAGGAATGCCAACGATGCTAGTGTCTCAGAAAGAAAACCCCCTTCCATTGCTAGAAGATCCGTCACCTATCCTAGAATGATAAAATAATGAAACAGATAAAAAAAAATGCTGCTTTAGAGGCACATTTATCCCGTCTTTCCATAGGAAGGAATGTGGAACCGGAAAAAAAGTCAAAGTAATAGTTTAACATCACCCCTAAGTCCATTCAGAGTCCACGGCACTGTCTGGAATCCCAGCTGTTGGTCTCGTGTTAGGATCACTTCTAGTGAGCTTTGAGAAAAATCCTGAAACGCTGGTGGACTTCAGCACACTGAAGTCAGAGTCTCCAAAGGTTTGGCCTTAGCTTGAAATTGATTTCAAAATTCCAAAGGCAACTTTAGTGTTCAGTAAAGTTTAAAAACCTACTAGGGTTTGGTGGAAGCCTCAGATGATCACACGAGCAGCTTCAGGTGGAGCAGGGTTAAATCCCTTACCGGCCAGTTGATGAGCATAGAGTATGCCCACGTTACAAGTAAGGAGAAAACAAGTGTAGTTATTTCTCTGGTACTCCTGACAAATGGTCTTCAGGAGCTTAATTCACTTCGGTGTGAGAGACCTCAACACATTTAAAACCTTGCAATACAGGCAGTCGTAATGGCCTCAGTGTGACATACCTCTTGCAACTTCTCTGCCCTCATTTTACTCATTTGCCTCCACAGCCTGAGCAGGGTCTGCTACTAGGCAGCACATGGGTTATTTGATAGTAGTCAGTTTCCCTCCCTCTCCAGGATGGGCATCACAGCTGCCATTCTGTAAGCTCTGTCATTTTCTCAACAGCATCCACTACATGGGGACCGTCACCACTTGAGGAGGGAGTAGCATATTAAGAATTCATATTCTACTCATTGCCCTAAAGGCAGGAACCCATTCTAAGGCACTGCACGCTGCATTAAGTATTATTTGAGTGTTCAGCACTTACTGTACCTCCCTCCTGCTGTAGATATTAAAAATGTAAGTCCCTGCCTGCTGAGAAAAGGCAAAAGAGTTCCTTTCTGTTTGTTTAATGGTAATAATATGAGTAAGACCTACATTTACAAGCACTCTTTTATCAGTTCCTGAGTTAAAAAGCAGAGCTCAGCCATGTAGAAGATGGGCACAGGCTCTTCTCTGCATAAGGCGTTCACTTATGCACAGCTTGTCCTACCCATTCTGCTCCGAGTAGAGGAAGAACAGGAGAGGTGCTTGGTGGCATGAATGAATTGGTTTTGCTGACTTCTGGCCATAAAAGCCAGTTCTTCATCATCATCAGCCAAAAGAGGCTAACAGATTTTTGGTTTTTTTAAAAGCAAGTAGTATGTAAATAACATAACTGCAGCTACCCGCAATGACACGGGAACTTCTCAGAACCATGATGGGACACTGAGACTCAACTGACTTCTTCAGGACTACACATGTAGCTAGTAAGGGAGCTATTTTAGTTTCTAAATAAGGTCTATCTTCCCCTTTCCATTGTTAACCTCTATTACAGCATCTCAGATGTGAGTGGAGTCCTCGAGAAGGCTCCAAGAAGGAAGACAGACTGATTGCTTCCTACTGGTTCTATGTCAAGCTCACATACTCAAGCTGTGGAATATACTCTTACCTTGCTTTTCTGAAAGCACATGCCCAATAAGACCAAAAATACTTTTTTTTTCTGAATTGGGTAACCTTCACTGTACTGTACGTTTAAAATACCCATATAAAATGCAAGGTATTTGCTGAGCATGGTAACTCACGTCTTTAATCCTAGTAGTCAGAAGGCAGAAGCAGAAGGATCCCTATGAGTTCCAGGCCAGCCTGATCTACTTAATTCGCTTCAGTACAGCCCGGACTGCATAGTGAAACTCTATGAAAAAAAAAATAAAAAGCAAAGTATCTAGTCAGATTTAAATCTCAAATAAACAAAATTGCCCCCAGTGTTCCACAGAATACCATTTTTATATAGCTTTCAGTGTTTACCTGAAATTATTCTTTAACAGAGTAGTCTAAATTTTTTCTTAACTAAATTTGTACATATATACAAATTGGAAACTAGAAATTCTACTCAAAATGCCTCCACACTAAGTGAGAACAGCATTTTACTTGACAATGAATTGACAAACACAGCTCTTTTACTTTGTAGGAGTCATGGGGGCAGGTCTTGTCTCTCCTACATCTTCTGACATCATTTACATCATCTCTGAATCGTTATCCGTCCCATTTCCTTATAGTCAGAAAGCCATTATGTGAATCCAGACGTCATATTACCTCACCACTATTTCTAGACATAAAAGAAACTGCTTCCTCCCTGTGGATCTCTCTACGGATTAAAGAAACCTCCTTAGAGGTGGTATGAGAAGTTGTCACTCTTGCCTCATTTTCTATGACCCTGTTCCAGAGACATGAATGAATTAGCTTCTAGCAATAAGTATGGCTTTACCAAGATGGATATTAAACCAATGAGAATACAGTCTCTGAACCTGAGGCAGCTCTTGTTTCAACTTCAGAGACTTTGAACTCGTTAACCAGCAGCCAATGGAACCAACAGCCCTGTTGTACTCAATAGGCATCCACTAAATCATTATTAGAAACTTAGAGAAACCCCTACTATCAATTTACAACTTCATTAGCATACTTTCCCTTCAGAAAGCCAAACTTAGGAAATCTAAAAGTGCCCCTCCTTTATGAAAAATCTAAATTCAGTTACTTAAAATAAAATAAATGTAAAGGAAAAGAAAGAATATAGGTCTAATTAACTATCAGACTCCAACCTTCCTTCCCTTAATTGTCACAGAGCACTCCACTGTGTCAGGATGCCAACTTTCTGTGGTGTCCACAGCACAACAATTAGAGAAAGATGAAACAAACTGTGACATGCCTCACCTTCACCCCTTCAATTCCTATCCAACTGGACAAGTCGTCAAGTGGCTATTCATTTATAATATTGAAATGTGTGACTTTAAAAATGATGTCCACAAATATGCTCACTCTACCATGTATATGATAACTATTACGTGTAGTGTCAGCTGCAATTTTGTAATTAGAATTCAGCCTTTACAAAAACAGTGTCATCGGAATTTAAATTTTCTCTTTATTGCATGCATATCCATGTGTGTCTGTGTGTACACGTGTGCATAAAGGTATGCATATGTGTGCTTGTTAGCCAAAACCATATATTCTGATCTGCAGCGAATTTCTATTTCAGGTTTCACAGTATAGATGCTCACGTGATTGGCTGAAGGATGACTAATATCCTTATTCCCTTACTTAGTGGTGATGCCATGCTTTCTTAAATGACACGTTGCTTTCCATTAAGGTGTATCTTTTTAGGTTTGATTTTCTTTCTCAGAAAGTGATAAAAGATGACCACTAATATCAGGGGGAAAGGAGTGGGTGATAGTGTTCCAGCGACATAGGAATTTCATAGTGAACCCCTGCAGTTAATTTTAATGACATATGGGTGTTTTCTTCATTGGAGTACATCTCTTAACTTTATCATCAAAGTAAATCACTGCGACTAGAACAGATTTGGAATGTATCAGTATTGGTTTGGAAAATTTATAAATATTTTCTAAAATAACTGGTAAAAATTAAAACGTTTGAGTTTTGTGTGTGTGTGTGAGAGAGAGAGAGAGAGAGAGAGAGAGAGAGAGAGAGAGAGAGAGAGAGAGAGAGAGAGAGAGAGAGAGAGAGAGAGAGAGAGAAAGTTTTGTGCTGATATTTAATGAGTCTGTTACCTGGGTGAAATATTCCCAAGCTTGTCATGGAGGATGAAGCAGTTGCCTTTCCAGGAAGAAAGCTTAA